AAGGTAACATCAAAAAAATAATACTTCAGTCGACATCGAAAATCGCTGCTTCCACCCAAAAAATAACGGTCGGGCCTTGAAATTTTCAGGGGAGAACCGGGGGCCTAGAAACTCCATGAAAATGCATTAAAGTCAATTTCGGCAAGAGGGGTGAAAATCGCCGAAAAATCACCAGATGGTCCCCATAAGCTTCTGCTTTGGTATTACTCCTTAATGTTTAGACGTCCAGCTTATCTCTTCCCGTTAGTTTTATATCATGCATGCTGTCTTACGTAGATTTTGGTGAGCCACTTTGTGATTTTATTTCTGTTTTGCTTTTACATTTCATCTTTTTTTTATTTTTGTTTTATTTTTTTTTAGATTTTCAGGGCAGTAGTCTTTGTAGTTTACCGAGAGCTTGGCAATTTTTACTTTTCAGTACTTCCACCCCCTTTCTATCGGCGTGTTTCTTTTGCTGTTTTTACAACTAATCGCCAGGTCTCCTAGTTTAGGTATTTTTGTGGCTCACTTAGTTAGGGACTCTTTTATTACTCATGTCTTTGCTGTCTTTTTACCCGCTTTCCCCAAGCCAGCTTCAAGTCTTTGGTCGCAGTTCATCAGTGTTTGAGGGTTAGTTTACTGTTTCGTGTTCAGTGTTGGTCATCTCGTTGGTTTTCTCATTGGCGCTCCAGGTCATATTGCGTGTTTTTTTTTGGTGTTTTAGTGTGGATGAATTCTTGTGGTTGTTTTAGCATTGCTGCAGTTTGCCTTACGGTTTTGTAAGAGAGCGCATAAGCGTCGTCTTCGCCTCCGCGGCGGCTGAATGCATGGCGCCTAGGTTTGTACTAGTATGATCAGAGACCAGGAGAGGAAAAGAAACAAAAGATTCCAGCAGCGCAGGAACCTGTGATCTATCCCCTGCTGGTGCAGCTTCAGAGTTTCATCTCCTACCTGTAGTCGCTGGTAGCTCCAACCCAGAAGTAAGGCAGGCAGTTCAGGTGATGGCGACCGAAATCACGATGTTTAGAGAGGTGCTGGATCGGGTGAATGCCCTGGTAGAGGAAGTTGGGGAATACAAAGAGCAGAACAGTCAACTTGATGCACGGCGCCAGCGTCAAGAAGAAAGCCTCAAGAACTTGCAGACGTGGAAGCTTGGAGGAGACAAGCTGAGGAGCGTGTGGAGTTTGAGCAGCAACAGCACGTCCCCAACGGGAAATCCAGTCTGCTGATCGGGAGAGGAATGAAACAGGACGCCAGCAGCAGGAAGCAGTAGATGACCAGGACCAGCAAATTCAGCAGCTCCAAGCTCAGTTTCCGGAACGGGAACGTGAACTGACAGAATTTCGCCGTAACCAGCATACGGTATCAACACCTGCCCAGCGACAGCCAAGTGCAGGAGACCTGAATGGCAGACTGTCCTGTGGCAACTATCCTTCTGCCATGAGTGATGTCCACCTGCCTCGTGCACCACAGCAACCCCTCCCACGTAGCAGAGCCCAAACTCCTGAGCCTGTGGGTTGCCTCCCATTGCTTCAACGTCAACCACAACAGTATTTGTGGCGAGCTTCACCACAACTGCCAGCACCTGAAGTCGGAAGAAGTTCTAGTGATCAGATGCCACGCTGCAAGGATTGTACCAGTGCCCACTGCCCATCTGCACAAACCTCCAGCACAGCCCCAGTGTCCTACATATTCACCAAGGAGAAGGTACCTCTTTTTAAGGATGATGCAACAGCTTCGCAGCCGCTTAAAAAGAACCAGGAGATTGAAGGGTGGATACGAGCCATCGAGAATGTAGTGAAACCCTCAAGCTCACAGGCCTACATTCAAGCAGTCTGGGCTAATTGCAGAGGACCTGCCGAGCTGATTATAAACTCTCCTCTTTTTGACCAAATTACGGAGTGGGAGACCTTCAAAGCTGCCTTACGCAGTAAATGTCGTGGAACCTACACTGCAGCAGATTTTTATAAAGTCCTGTATGAAAACCGAATGATGCCAGGACAAGCTCCCATGGATTACTTCCTCCAGCTTGAAGGAAGTGTTTATCAAGGATACCGGGACCATCGTGAGGCAATTGGAGATCCTGCTGAGCTTGTCAGGAAAGTCTTTCTAAGAGGTATCCTGGCTTGGCTGCGGGACTTTTTTGACCTGAAGGAGGATGGGAGTCCAACTCAAATTGCTGAGGCTGCTCAGCGAATTTGGAATTCGCATAATGGCATCAGGCATGGTGATGGTTCCTCACCATCAGAATTTCAGCGCTCACATGACCGTCCCCCATGTGCACGTGATCACTATGCGATGCCTGTTTCGGTCGATACTCCTGTTTCAGCTTTTCCTGTGGCTGTCCAAGGAAAGTTGTGCAATTATCACAAGGTCGCCACCCACAACTCGCCTGAGTGTCGTGTTCTGTCTGCAACGAACTCCAGTGCCCACCCTTCATCCAATCGCCAGTGTTACCAGTGCAAGCGACCAGGCCATTTTGCCAGAGACTGTCCCTTTCAGCCATGCCAGGGCGACAGTGCTCCCAGAGCCACTGGCAGAACTAGCCCAGGGAGCCACCAACCCTCAAGCAGCGGCCACCAGAGCGATAGCCAAAGTGACTTCACCAGGACCTGTGGGACCACTCATGGCACTCAGTGTTGAGGATGTCACTGCTTTGTGATTCATCGACACAGGTTCCGAGATGACAATTATCAAGCCCAGGGCGCTTTAGCTGATTGATCCACATGGTTGTTTATGCCAGAGGATTGCTGCACGTCAACTCTGTGGTGTGACAGGCAAGTCCCTGGATGCCTATAGTGAAGTGACCCTGACCTTCTGCCTTGATGCTGACCTGAAGATACGTCAAGTTACTGTGTGTGACATTCAGTTCCCTGGCGACATTCTCCTGGGGATGGACTTACTGCGGAGGACCTCCTTCAGCCTGTCGTCTAGCTTGCAAGATGACTGGGCGTACCTTACTCTGGAAGGTCGGGCCTTCTCAATCACCTGCACCAATACCAGCTCGTTGCAGTTATGCCTCGTGAATGGAGAGAGTGGTCCTTCAAAAGTAGCTGAACCTGATCAGGTGAACTCTGAGTCCTTGCCTTCCTCTGCAGTTTCAAATTCAAACAACCCTTCACCTTCTGCAGTACACCTCCTACAGACGGAGCTCCTACCAAATACTGGCCCTAGTGATGGTGATATTCTTCTGATTCCCCAAGTTTCAGCTGTGCGCCTCTCCCTACCTCGTTACTACAGCCTCACAACGGCAAGGCCTGTACGACTGACACAGGGAACACGCTTGGGGACTGTAACTCCAGTGGATGAAATCTACACCACCGAGACATCACGCACTGTGCCACTGAATCCAGTCATTGCTGGGAACACAGATCCCATCGAGACTGACTTCTGGGAGGACAGTGAGGAAGCTGTGGACTTTAACTGGGAGGAAGATCTTTTTGATCAGATGCATGGTCTGGAAGACTTCGGTTACGATGATGAGCTGGATCTCTGCAGAGGAACTACCCCCGTCATTGGCACTTGCTGCAGTTGAAGCATTTGAAGGTTTGGAGGATCTGCCACACCCACGCTTGAATGAACTTGCTACAGACCTACAGCACTTGGAAGACCAGCGCAAGAAGCTACACTCACTCCTTTATCGTTACTGAGAACTTTTTGATGGAGGGGAAGAAGTAGCTGGCCATATTCCAGGTGTTCAACATCTGATTAATTGGTTGATGCTACCCCTGTGTGCACTCGGCAGTGGCAACTCCCTCAAATGACACGAAGCATCATTCGAGAGCAGTGTAACTCTATGCTACAGCAAGGAGTGAGTTAGCCTTCAACATCACCATGGCTTAGCCCTGTGGTGTTAGTCAAGAAAAAGAATGGAATGGAATACAGTCACCACAGCAAATACATATCCGTTTCCTCGCATTGAAGAACTCGACGAGTTGGGTCCAACAGATACTTTCACCATATTGGATGCCAAGGCAGCCTACTGGAGTGCTGAGGTCCATCCAGAGGACAGACCAAAGACTGCCTTCAGTGATGGATACAGACTTTTCCAGTTCTGTAGACCCATTTGGTCTCAGCACAGCCCTAACAACATTCCAACGAACTGTGACATCGTCCTCTCTTCAGTTCTAGGGCGCCATACCCTAGCTTATCTGGATGATATCATCATTTATTCAAGAGGCTTTCCACATCTGTCAGACCTGGAGGAAACACTGAAACTCCTCTCTGCAGCTGGATTAAAGTTAAATTCCAAGAAGTGCAGCTTTGCTACAACCACCACCAACTTTTTGGGATTCACTATATCTCCTGAAGGTGTCCAGCCAGATCGTAAGAAGGTTACTGCCATTTCTGAGACCCCTGTGCCCCACACTGTGAAGGTTCGTTTTCTTGGCGCTACTGGCGTCTTCAGAAAACACATCCAAGGATATGCAACCCTAGCTGCTCCCCTGCATCTTCTAAAGAAAGGCCAACCGTGGAAATGGGGTGAAGACCAGGAGGCTTTCGAAAGCCTTAAAGAACATCTTGTTTCTTCACCTGTTCTCCAACAACCCGACTTCTCTAAACCATTTGAGTTACACACTGATGCCAGTAGCCTTGCTGTAGGAGCTGCACTGATACAAAGGGACGCAGATGGAACACCTCATGTTGTTGCTTACTATAGCCACAAGTTGCGAGATCCAGATAGCCGATATCCTGCAATAGACTGTGAAGCCCTTGCTGTTGTCGAAAGTCTTCGGGTCTTTGACTCGTATCTTTATGGTAGAAAGTTCATTGTCTATACCGATCACAGACCACTAGTCTATGTTTTCAAGCGCCGCACCAAATCACCAAGAATGACTAGGTATGCTCATGACTTATCTTTCTAAGACTTTGAGATTCAATACAAAGAAGGACCTGCAAATTCTGAACACAAGACTGATTTTGTACGGAATAAAATGAAGGCCAATATGCATGAAGGTGAATTTTTTTGGCATCTCTATACGCCTTTAGCACTTCACAGGGTAATATAGGAGATTCAAGCATGTTTTTATATATATCTTTTAATTCCATTTTTTACAATACAACCCCGGCCATTTTGGATACTTTTATCATCTTTCCAGGAAAAAAAACTTACAAATTAATAGTGTACATAGAAAAATAATACAATACAACTGCAACAACAGTAAAACCCTAAACCATTTCACTGTGGACATGTCTTAGTAACTTTCAAATAACAAATCACTGTCACACCCAGTATTCTTCAACAAATGGAAACACATTAATTTGTTTACATTTTTATAAAACAAACTATCTAAAGGAGTCCAGCACATATTCTTGATCCCCTATGACTCTTTGCTGAAAGGAATAGGTTAAACGACAATCAGTGGCCACTGAGCCCTTCTTATTAATGGATTTATGTGTTTTCTGAAGATTGTGTTTCCAAATCTACATAGATTCCAATTTATCTTTTAACATAACAAATACAGTTATTGTAATAACTCAAGGAAATATCTTTCTGTATTTAATTAATTCTTAAATTTGCAAAAAAAAAAAAAAAAAAAGTACAAAGCAAAAAAATATATGCAAAATATCTGAACATTAAGTCAAGACTTCTTTTTATGGCAAGCCAAACAAATCCAATAACGAATTCAGTTTAATATTCAATAATCTAATATTTTCCTGTGGGAGCTCACCTAACCATTCTTGGGGTAGTTGTGAATAACCAATGGTAGCACCTAAGATCCCTCCCACAACACTTGCATGGGCACTGACACCAGTGCCTCCTCTCATTACAATATTCACGATCTCAGTCTTGAAATCGAACTCATCCTTACTCATCACAGTATACAATAAACTCAATGAAGTTGTTGCATCGTCTCCACTGACTGCCTTACTGTTGACATCAGTGAAAGCCCTCCTGAAGTCTTCTCTATCATTTTCTTCAAGAATCTTCAGAGCGACTTTTTCTTTGATATCATCAATCAAATTAATAAATGAAAGCTCCCCACTGCACATCTTACCCTGAAAAGAGAATTTACCGAAAAGACAATTACTATTACTATACTTTAAGAATGAAAATCTGTTATTCTTATTACTGTTTTTATCTAATATTAATATGACAGCAATGTTGATGATGACAGCAAAGCTACAATGGGCAGTACGTGTAACCTGCACAAATGGATATGGTTAGTTATTATTCTTTTTTAAATTAAAAGCAAAGACAAAAAAGGAGAGCATTATTTTTATAAAACAATAAAATACAGGATCTGATCGAAGACCATAAACAAAATCCTATATCAAAATTATCAAACTTATAAAAAATATCACCGGTATCAAATCAATAGATTGCAAGTGCTACTTTTAAAGTTCATTTGCTTGATTTTGGTGGAAATTGCCTTTTCAAGTTTTTTCTATGGAGGCCGAGTATATGCAACACATCATCATCTAGAAGCTAACGCCGACATGGGTGCATAGCTGCATCCACCCTTTGCTTGTACCTGCGAGGGTCCCTCATGGTAAGCCGCCCGGCAGGGAATCGGCCTATCTCAAGCTTCTCACAACAGGTTTCATCAATCTACCCAAGCTACGACTTCCTGGGTCGTCCCACAGGCCTCCTCCATCCAGGGTTATCTCGTACAGTGACAACCTGGTGGGCAGGATCATCCTGAGGAAAGCGAGCCAGGTGCCCATATAGCCTGAGTTGGCAATCACAGATTGTCCTGTGCCAGTCTCACGGTACAACCATTGGTTTTGCACATGGTTCCGCCAACTGTACCCCATGATCTGGCGCAAGGACCTATTACAATAGGTGTCAAGATATGACTCCAAGGTGCAGGATATGTCCAGGTTTCACTACCGTATAGCAAAACTGGCATTATCAGGGCCTTGAAGACGCAAAGCTTGGTCCTTCTGCACAGGTACCAGCATCTCCAAATACTCTTGTCGAAAGAATTCATGACCCCTGCTGCCAGGCCAATCCGTCTGCTGACTTCCTGGTCTGACAGCCCAGAGTTATGAACTACACTACCAAGGTATGTAAAACTCTCTGTGACTTCAATGTCCTCGCTGCAAGCACGTACCGACTGCACAGGTTCTCCTAATATGTCCCCAAAGTCCTGGATTTTGGTCTTGATCCAGGAGACCTCTAGACCCAAGGGCTTCGCTTCATTACTAAATGCATCGAGAGCCACCACTAAGGATTCCAAAGACTCAGAATAGCAACATCATCAGCAAAGTCAAGGTCGGTAACCCAGAGTTGCTCCACAATGACTTTGAACAGTAGCTTTGCCTAGTATCCAGTCCATGCAAGTGTTGAAAAGTGTTGGTGCAAGGACACAGCCTTGCCTCACTCCTGAACTAACAGGAAAGAAGCTTGACAGGCCCCCACCACACTTTACAGCACTTTCATTACCAGTATACATACTTATTATTAGTCCAAAAATCCTATTGTGGACTTACCAGGAGTGAATGGACATTGCTCCGGCCTCTGGTGCCTCAGTAGGTGGTCTCTAATACATCTCAGAAGGATGTGGGCGAGAACCTTACCTTCCAGAGAGGGATGACCACACCCTTCAACAGGTCAGGGGAATGGTACCGGACAACCAGATAGCAGCCAGGACAGCATGCAACCCCTGTGCCATAGGTTCACCACCAGCCTTTAACAGATGGGATGCCACAAATACCTGCTGCTTTACCTCTCTTCAGCTTGGAGATCGCCCCCTAACTTCAGTTAGGGAGGGAGGGTCCTCACTGATGAGGTGGGTCCGCAGGAATCTCGGCACTACCCACATCCAAGTTAACTGTTGGTGGGTCAACCTGGTACAACTGCTCAAAATACTCAGCCCAACGTTCCCGTACTGCAACAGGATCTGAGACGATCTGGCCACTTACTAAGCGAACTGCTGTCACCTGTGAAGAGGGCTTGGAGTTCAGCTTTCTCAGGGCTTGGTATGCAGGACGAAGGTCATTTACTAAGAAATAGCCTTCGACCTCCTCAGCAAGACTCCTAATAAACTGTTCCTTGTCCCTTCTTAACAGAGACCGAGTTCTGCGAACTGACCTGAGAACATTGCAAATCCCGATCCCCTGCCAGACAAGCCGAACGAAAAGCATCTGTGGCTTCTAGTGTTTCCTATGTGATAAAATTCTGTCTCGCTCTCGGGCGTTCATCAATCGATTCTTGAGCTTCATCAAGTGTTTTGCACTTGAAGATATCCCACAGAAGTACAGAGTCCGTCAGATTGTCGAGCACTGTAAAACGACTAGAGATTGCCACAGCAAACCCCCTGGCACACTCCCCCTCCCTCAGCCTGTCCAAATGAAACATCCTAGGGCAATTTTGAAGTGGACCTGGAGAATAGCCACAACCAATCTATGGTCACTACCACAGAACTCAGCACTCCTATATACCCTGCAGTTCTGGAGGATCCTCCAACGAATGCAACCAAGTATGTGGTCGATCTCCTTGTCCAACGATGTGGGTCTGAGCGCTGGTACGAGGAGCTAGAAATCTTCAATTTCTGGGACCTTGCAAAATCCCGGAAAAGAAGGCTATTCTCGCTACCACTATCAGCTCGCGAACCATGGGGACCAACAGACATTTCATATAGCCAGCTCGATCACAGCCAGATACTGCATTGAAGTAACCCAGAATAATACAAATATCTTGCTGAGGACAACTGTCTGCCACAGATGAAAGTTTAGCATAGAACATCTCTCTCACATCGAATTTACAAACATCGGTAGGAGCGCACACAGCAATAATAGATATGAAGCCAAATGCTAACTTCAGTCTCAATATCAATATACGCTCATCGAGTGGAGTAACCTATACCACCGAGGGCTGGAGCCTACTGGAGATAGATATCGTTGCTCCCTGAAGATGGTGACCGTCGTTGCTGTCAGACCAGTAGTAGGTGTAGCCACATAAACTGATCATGCCACTGCCAGGTCTTCTCACCTCCAAGAGAGCAGCCACCCAAACTCTCATATATATATATATAATATATATATATATATATATATATATATATATATATATATATATATATATATATATATATAAATACATATACATATAAATATATATATGTATATATATATTTTTTATATGTATATATATATATTTTTTATATGTATATATATTTTTATATTTATAATTTCTTATACATATTATATAATTATATAGATAGATAGATAGATAGATATATTATATAGATATAAGAAAGATAGATAGACAGATATATATATATATATAATATATATAATATATATATATATATATATATATAACATATATTGATATTATATATATATATACATATATGTATACATACATGTATATATATATATATATATATATATTTATATATATATATATATATATTATATATATATATATATATATATATATATATATATATATAATATATATTATAATATATATATATATATATATATAAATATATATATATATATTATATATATATATATAATATATAATATATTGATTATATATATATATATATATATATATTATATATATTATATATATATATATATATAGGTATACATATAGGTATATGTATATAATATATATATATATATATATATATATATATAAATATATATATATATATATATATA